GCTTCGTCGCCTGCAGTCACGTTGTGGGCTTCGTCGCCTGCAGTCACTGAGAGTCCGCTGGTCATTCCTTCCACTTCATTGGTTTCCAGTTGCACTTTAGTCAATTTTAAGAGACTTTTAAAACCCAGCCTAGATACTGTCAAATCACAACAAGTTTCAAATTGAAGACAGCTTACCTTCATTTGCATTTCGTTTCAATCTGGTATCCACTGACTGGGGAATTGCGCCATTCTTTATCTCAGCAACTGGCAAGAGATCTGCATGAACAGTACCAAATATCAATCATTTTTCCTTCACACTGATGCTTTTTTTTCCCCCCCCTTTCTCAATTTTTTTTTATTTTTTTTTTTTATATTAAAATTAGTCGGTTGCCGTTCATTTTACATGTTTAATTGTCATTTCATTTAGAGTTTGGGAACCATTTAACCAGTCATGCATCTTTAGCACTTTGTTGCATTTTCCTAATCTCAAATCCCCTCTTTGTTTTAGGCAACTGGATATTCTAAAGCATTTAATCAGAATTTTAAATACATTTTTTTTTTTTTAACAGTCAGAAAAACTCCCATCTGCATTAAAATTTAACTAGGATTAACATTTATTGAACGGTCAATTGTCATAAAAACATTCCTATCATCACCTGTACACAACTCTACAAACTAATTTTTCACAAGTCATATTTACCATTATATCAAAAATAAAAACCATCTACTTACCTTTACTGAGCCACACAACCGCTGCACAAAAGCTCAGAATCCAAACACCCCTCATGGTTCCTGAGACTGAGTAAAAGTGGAAGCAACATCTGATGCTTAAAAACCTCTACCAGAAGGTTCCACAGCTGTATCTAATCTGCTCTAATTGGTTCTGTCCTCAGAAAAGTAAATTAGTGAAAGTGATGAGTGCAGTGTGCAAAAACTAAAGAACACACACAAAAGAAGAAAGTGCAATTATTAAAGATAAAGATAAAGCTGAAATATTAGCTGAAACATTCAATAAGATCCATAGCACAAGTAACATTAGGAAAAGAAAGGAAGGGAAGCCCCAAAATTATAGTATAAATATTTACAACAAAATGATGAAGATGATGATAATTACTGAATGCACCATTTAAAAACATCTTCTTTGAATCGAGCACTCAGTAAACCAAGAAAACAGCACCAGAAAAATATCAAATTTGGTATTGAACAATAAATCATTTCAGTGAAACATTAAGAGAAATCATCTAAAACCAGAAAAAGACCATACTAACTGAAAAAATTACAGACCAGTCACACTAACATCAGACTTGTGCAAAATAATGGAACAAATGAAAGATTAACATATTGTTTGAATAAAGCAAAAAAGAATGAATATATCAAAATTGGTTTTGAAAGAGCTGTATTACTTTTGATTCAGTTTTATGAAATCAGAAAAGCTCGGATATATAAAGAAAACGTGTTTTCAGTATTCTTTGATATTGTAAAAATGTATGATATTGTTGAAGGAGTATTAATTTAAATGAAATCGGCTATTACAGAGAAGATGTTTAAATTGATCAATAAAAATGACCACAAAGGACAATACATGCATAGGAAAAGAATATTCTGGTAAATACGTGTAGAACATGGAATGCCACAAGGCAGCATAATAAGTCCTTCATTGTTGTTTTAATGATTAATAATGTTTTTGTTGAAATAGAGGAGGTGGTGGGCTGTTCACACTTTGCAGATGAAGGAGCAATTTGAAAAAGAGGTAGAGCAGTAAAGACAACAAAAGATGCTATTAGTAAAATAGAGGGATGTGCAATTGAATGGGGGTTTAAATTTTCATTGGGGAAAACAAATGGTAGGTATTTACACAGAACATAATTACAGAAGGAAAACAACTGAAACTATATAATCAAGAAATAGAACAGGTTAAGATCATATTATTTAGGAATATGATTTGATGAATGACTGAAAGCGGAGAGTGAGTCTAAGGCAAGCCCTTTTAACATAAAATCGAGTAGTCTGACTATCTGTAGTTACATTCTAGAGATCTAAAATTGAATTTTGACTAGTCAAAATATAATTAAAGATATCTTAAATAACTAATATGTCTAGTCATAAATCAGTTTCAGATATCTGGAATGTAAGCGTGGTGAATCCGATTTTATGTCAAAAGGGCTTGCCATACAGAGTCTGTATCTTTATTCTTATTTTCTGGCGTACTATTGAATCATCTTGCAAGTTGTCCACAGCAAGCCTGAGATAGGCTACTGCCCATCAGTCATTATTTTTATGACTTTTCTCTGACATGACCTACAAACTCTAGATGAGTTATTTCAAATCTATATTTGTTTACAAAGTATTTTTCACGAATCTGTGGGATGAAACAGCTGAGAGAACAGTCAGTGATCAATCAAATAAAGAAAATAAAAGTTTTAGAATTTTTTTTTTTTAAATTACATATTCTTATAAAAAATATAATTCAATTAAAATGTATTTGCGATAAAACTAATCCTTTTGGCAGACAGGTAAACTTAATATAACATTTTTACTTTCGTCGAAATCTAATGACGTTTCATGCGTTTTGAAACGTCATTCAATAGAGAGTTTTGACGACTGCAGAGAAAGTTGGAGCTGAATCAACACAATAGTCTTGGGAGGTTGGCATAAAACTGGTTTGTGACTGGACTGCTATGGCGTCTCAAGGTGAGAGTGAAGGGGATGATGAGATGGAGTCAGGTGAGTGGACACAGGTGCGTGGAGGTAAAGTGTCAGGAAGAGAGAGAAATAGAAAGGAAGACACTTTGCAAAGTAATAAAAGGAGTCTAGAAGAAAACAGTTCAGAGGAAAACAATGTGGTTAGTAAGAGGGTTGTTAGGGAAGAATCCAAATTAATCATGAAGTTTAGAAAGGAGGATGAAGGAATTCAATTAAGTCCATTAGTGCTGTCAAAAGAATTAAAGAGGAAGTTTGGAGAGCTGACACTTGCTAAAACTCTTAGAGACGGGAACCTGTTGATAACAGTGAGAAATGAAGAGCAGAAAAACAAAGTAATGAAAACTCAGAGTATTTGTAAAAAAGTAATGAGTGAGATCAAAATTTTGGGAGAGACTAAGGTAGCTAGAGGAGTGATCACAGGTATTCCAGTGGGAGAACATCAGGAGAAATTTAGACACAGCATTTATGGAGGTGAAGTCAGCAAAATTAGAAGATTGATGAGAACAGTTGAAGGTGAAAAAAAGGAAAGTCTGTCAGTGATGTTGGAGTTTCAAGCAGCTGTTCTCCCTGAAAGGATCAAAGTAGGATGTATGTGCTTCCCTGTTAGGCCGTACATCCCTCCTCCTCTCAGGTGTTATAAATGCCAGAGGTACGGACATATCGCAGCAGCATGTAGGGGAAAACAAAGATGTCCAAAGTGTGGAGGGGAACATAGATATGAGGAGTGTAAAAATGGAAAGGATACTTGTTGTAACTGTGGAGGACAACACAGAGTAACTTATGGAGGCTGTGAAATCAGGAAAAGAGCAATGGAAATCGAACAAGTCAAAGCCACTAATAATATAAGTTATGCAGAAGCTGTTCAGAGAGTGAAGAAACCAAAAGAGGTGCCAGGTAAAGTTCAGACAAAACCAACACCAGAACAAAGGCAGACTGGACCTGACACAGAACTGACAGTAGAAAAGATCATGTTGTTCATTGCATATGTTATTAATTGTACAGAGCAAGTAAAACACAAAACAGAAAAAATCAAAATAATTGTGAAAGGGGCAGAGAGGTTTTTTGGTATAAAGGATATATCCTGGGAGCACATAAATAAGAGACTGGGAGCAGAAGGGAAGACAGGAGGACCAGAAGACAGAACAAACTGATCATCTTACAGTGGAACGCTAGAAGTCTAATATCAAATGGGCAGGAGTTTAAAGGATTTATCAAAGAATTCAAAGAAGATATAGATATTATATGCATTCAGGAAACTTGGCTTAAACCAAACCTTGATTTTGTTATAAATGGATATGAAAACATTAGAAGAGACAGAGAGGGAGGATCTGGAGGAGGCTGTATAACATTCATTAAACAGGGGATTCAATTTAGAGTTTTAGCTAAAGGAAGAGAGTTAGAATATATTGTTATTGAAATCTGGACAATAAATGGACAATTTAAAATAATACATTTTTATAATCCATGTAAAAAAACTTACATTAGACTTAATGGAGGAACTTGTGACATATTTAGAGGGTAAGGTGATTTGGTGTGGGGACTTTAATGGGCATAACTCATTATGGAGTAATCAAAATGATCAAAATGGAACTATAATAGAAGAAATAATGGAGGCTACAAACTTGGTATGTTTGAATGATGGGAGTGGAACTAGAATTAATTTTAGAGATAATACAATGTCAGCAATTGATTTAACGTTAGTTTCAGAATCTCTAGCAGGTGTTTGTTTATGGCAAGTAATCAATAAAACAACTATAGGAAGTGATCATCACCCTATCATGACTGAAATAAAGTTACAAATGGAAAAGTATTGTATGAATGGGATGGAAAAATGGTGTTTTAGATCTGCAGATTGGGAAACTTATCAGAATAGTAGTGAAATAAAAATGCAAAATGTAGATATAACTGGTAGTATTGACAACTTTAATTCTTCTATATGTAATGCTATCCTTGAAGCAGCCAATCAGGCTATAAGGAAGAAAGGAGGGAAAAGGAAAGAAAGTTGGTACCATGGTGGACAACAGAATGTACTAAAGCAATTAAGAACCGAAATAAAGCTTTCAAATTATTAAAAAGAAATCATAACTTTCAGAATCTGAATGAGTACAAGAAACTGCAAGCAAATGTAAGAAGAACTATTAAAACTGCAAAGAGAGATTATTGGAGAAGTTTTTGTAATTCAGTAGGGAGGGAGACGGACATTTCTAAGGTATGGACAATGATCAAAAGGATGAATGGGATTAAAAGAGTGAATGGATACCCAATACTAAATGATGGAGAGTTAACAGCAGTGAAAGACAGAGAAAAGGCAGAAATGTTGGTAAATACTTTCGTTAAAATTCATAGTTCTGAAAATATTAGTGAAGAAGGGAAAAAAGGAAGAGAAAATACAATTTTAGAAAACAAAGAGGTGTTGGAGCAAATAGAAGACAGAAATGATTCATTGAACATGCTGTTTACAATAACAGAGCTGAATAGAGCACTTAAAAAATATAAATTGTCAGCTCCAGGAAAAGATCAGGTTTGTTACGCGATGCTAAGTAATTTAAGTAGATCATCTAAAAATATTCTATTAGAATTATATAACAGAGTATGGGAGGATGGGGAAATTCCAAAAAGTTGGAAGGAAGCAGTGATTGTACCAATTAGAAAACCAGGGAAAGATGAGTCAAAACCAGAAAATTATAGACCTATAGCATTAACATCCAATATATGTAAAATAATGGAGAAAATGATAAATGAAAGATTAATATATTATATGGAAAATAAAGGACTTATGTCAAAGTATCAGAGTGGTTTCAGGAGAGGGAGAAGTACAATGGACCCAGTTTTATGTTTAGAGCATGAAGTTAGAAAGGCTCAAGTGAATAAAGAGAGTGTTGTGGCAGTATTTTTTGATATAGAGCGAGCGTATGATATGATGTGGAGGGAAGGATTATTAATCAAAATTAGAAGAATGGGTATAAATGGTCATATGTTTAGATGGATTAAGACTTTTTTAGAAGGAAGACAAATACAAGTGAGAATAGGGAAGGATTATTCTGAGAGTTGTAATATAGAAAATGGGACACCACAGGGTAGTATAGTCAGTCCATTATTATTTTCAGTGATAGTTAATGATATGTATAAGGAAGTAGAGGGTGGAATGGGATTTTCACTTTTTGCTGATGATGGGGCAATGTGGAAAAGAGGAAGAAATCTAGAATTTATTATAAACTTCAGGGAGCAATTTCAGTAGTAGAAAAATGGTCGTATAAATGGGGAATTAAATTTTCTGTAGATAAAACTAAAATAATGTTTTTTACAAGGAAAAGAGTTGATGAGAAAATCAAGCTAAAATTATACGGTCAGGAGTTGGAAAGAGTTAAAGAATTTAAATTTCTCGGGTTGTGGTTTCATGAAAGAATGACATGGGGTGTACACATTAAGAAAATAATAGATAAATGTAGGAAAGTGTTAAATATAATGAGGTGTTTAGCTGGAACTGAGTGGGGAGCTGATAGAAATTCATTGACAACCATTTATACTGGATTAATCAGGTCAGTCTTGGACTATGGATGCATATGTTACAACTCAGCAGCAGATACAAACCTCAGTAAGTTAAATAATATCCAATACCAGGCACTAAGAATATGTACAGGTGCTTTTAAAACGTCTTCAACAGCAGCATTACAGGTTGAAATGGGAGAAATGCCTCTTAAATTTAGAAGGGAACAGCTGTCTTTGAACTACTGGACAAATTTACAAGGACAAAGAAATGATCATCCAACATTAGAGGTGCTTAAATCAGGTTGGGAAAAAGAAAAAATCAAAAGCTTTGGGTGGATGATAAAAGCCAAAGTTAATGAAATCCATTTAGATCAAATAGATATATGTCAGAAAGTTCCCTTACCAACAACACCACCTTGGGTACTTCCTGATGCTATAGTAGATTTTTCATTATTAGAAAAGAAAAACAAGAATAAATCTTTTATTATGGATAAATATACAGTACAGGAATACATTAACCAGTATTATAATTATGTACATATATACACAGACGCATCTAAAAATACAACTAATAAAATTGGGATAGCATTCATAGTACCACAATTTCATATTAAAGTAGGAAAAAGGGTTAGTGATGGAGTATCAGTTTATACAGGAGAAATGCTCGCTTTACTTTTAGCAGTTCAGTGGGTAGAAGAGGTAAGACCATTAAAATCAATCATCTGCTCAGACTCTAGTTCATCATTGTCCAGTTTGCAACACAACCAGTCATATAGTAGACCCGATATATTAATTGAAATACAACAAACACTCTATAGGATCAACATGATGGGGATTACAGTAAACTTTATACTGGTTCCAGCACATCACGGGGTTTTGGGGAATGAAAAGGCAGACAGGATGGCTAAGGAGAGCACTGGTCCGGACGTGGTTGATATTAATATTAGGTTTAATATAACAGAAATAAAGGGTATAATAAAACAAAAAATGAAGGAAAAGTGGCAAAAATTATGGGAGGAAGAAAGGAAAGGCCGGTGGTTTTATAAAATCCAAAGGAAAATTGGAGAAAGGAGAAGAACAGAAAGAAACAGGAGAGAAGAAACGATTATTTCACGACTCAGAATTGTGCACACTGGACTGAACAGCACATTATGTTTAATAGGGAAACATCAGACGGGGACATGTGAGTGTGGAGAAGAGGAAACCATAGAACACATTATATTGCATTGCAGGAGATGCCAGGTTCAAAGAAACAAGTTGATTAGACATCTTAGTAAAATGGAAATGAAATTAGACATTATTGAATTATTGCAGAAAGATTCAGGAAACAGAGGCTATCAAGCTATATTTTATTTTTTTAAACGGTGTAGGTTGTATGATAGGATATAAAAGAAAAGAGAGGGGTTTTTTTTGTCATGCAGTCCACACTCCTTACCAGTTGGTGGCGGTAACACTTCCTTCAGTTGTTTGCCAACCGCCAATAAAACACGAAGAAGAAGAAACGTCATTTCTCCATTCAACTGCGACCCGTCAACAGCGAGAACTTGGAAAAATGGCTGCAAGGTTACTGCTTCGTTCTGGCCTTAGAGCTGCTGTGAGCTGCCGGGCTGCCCGGGTTCCTGCTCTGAGCCGCGGGATGGCGGCTGGAGGTGAGGACTAAACTGTCACCTACATGAAAACAGTAAAATAAAGTCTAAATATTCACTAAAACAAGATTACGTGTGGCTAGGTCAGGTACAGCAGGACATTTCCTATCCGCTCAGGGCCGACGTTCGTCGCTAGGCCAGACTTTATGTAAGAAATGTGCGCTTTCTAGATATTTTTAAATCATGTTTACGTTGTGGCTATTTACAAAAAATCTTATGTCTAGCAAAATGTGTGTTTGTGTTATTTTTAATTCGGCACCGTAACAACACCCTAAAACTGTTAAAGCTCAAAGTTTCGAGCTAAAAAAAAATAAAATAAGTGAAATTAAGCCAGGAGCCGAGCTGATAATGGTTTGAACAGTGGAAAAAAAAGATAATGAATATTCCGTAACACTTATACATTACAGTTAAATTAATAACAAAAGCAGTGTTGTATTTACAATAAAAATCTGTCGCATTTTATTTACACTTCCTGTTTCGTGACTCACGAGAAATGAAAATGTGTAGACATCAATGAAAGCATTTCGCTTGTAAAATACGTAGCGCGGTGTTAAAGGGTCACTAAAACTCGTTTTTAGCTGTTTGTCTTCAATTAGACATGTTCCGAGTTGGAGTACTAAAAGCTGTTTAGCGTTAGCCTAGCAGCAGTGCTAATACTAGTACCAAAGGTCAAACATATGTACTAATTTACCAAGGTTGAGAGTAAAAAATCAAACCTAGCCATATGTGTTGTTTTAGTGTTGAAGTATAGTTATTGTAGAAAATCAGAGCTTGTCACTTCATGCATTCTATGTAACAAAAAAGCCTCTTAAAGCCATTTGTCTTGTTGGTGAGTGGTGAGTTTCTTGCTGCTGTACACATGTCAGAAGCTATATTTTAGTTTAAGAAGCCACCTTTTGTTTACAGAATATAATGTGAATTGTTGGGTATGCTGGTTGACTTGTTCCATTGTAATACCAGTAAATATGCTTGTGACATTTAATTGAAATAATGGTTTTGTGCTGAAAATGATGCGCTGTGCTCGTACTGGTTTTGTGTGTTCACAGGGATTCCCACTGATGAGGAGCAGGCCACGGGACTGGAGAAGATCATCATGAATGCCGCGAAGGAGGGAAAGGTAGTGACACTTTTCTGCCATCAAAAAGCTTCTTCAGCTTCTCTGGTTCCAATGCATGATTGATCAGTCGTTTTGTTCGAACATATGGAGAATATTAAAACGGATCAGATTCAATGCAACACGTATAAAATACCGACGTCTCTTCACCCGTAATATTTACTTTAAGCCTAAAACTTTCAAATCAAATGAGAAAAAAATTCCTTACAATTACCAGTAGACACAATTTCATGTGTGTGGTTCGGTGCGAGGGAGACAGACGCACATCTGAGCCGTGCGCTGTTTGTACCGACAGTTTTCGAGTGGCGGGGGTGCGTTCAGCGTGAAGGAAGAGGCTGCCTTTAGCTTTTTAGCTAGCGCACCTGCATTGCGAGCCGCTAGTTTAGCATTACGTCAGTAGACGAGGCGCCCCGCTTGTATAATGGTAGGGGAAACACTGGTCTTTGCTCACTGTTTGTTATGAATAGTTTTATAAAAATCCATAGTGGCATCTGAAATAGTTGGAAAAAATGCTCATTATCAACAGTTACTTAATAAATTCTGTGGCTGTAATTTAAGTCATCAACCACCACCCCCATGCGTTATGTGTGGATTGTGTGGACATAATTTTAAGAGCTAGTGAAGATCACGTAGTAGTTTTAATATCCTAATACCAAAAACTTCATAATTTATTTAAAAAAAAAAAACACCTTTCCATTTTTATGATTTTGTGTGTGCACGTTACCTGGAGCATCTGTGTCACTGTATTGTATATCCTAAACACAGAGATGAGCTTAATTTCAATCCATGTACAACCACACTGATTCTTCCTGGGCTTCATGTACTTTCTAACGTTTGTAGTACATTCAATTACAGCTTGTTGATCTTTTTAATACTAAGGCTCCTCTCTGACCTGCATGTTTTCTCTTTTCTTACACACTTGATAGGTGGGTCAAACTCTGCAGGCTTCTAAGATACGCCCACTTTTATTTAGGCTATGTATAAAATTACTAAACAAACGTTTAAGAGATGAGAAACTAGTTAAAATGTCTGCTTTTGTTTTAATTTCTGTGAGATTCTGCAATAATCAAATCAAATTATGAAGGGTTCAACATTTTTCTCCACACTTCATCTGTTTGTTCTGCAACATTTCAGTTGCAGAGATTAATTTAACATAACTGATTAGCGACTAAAACTAAACTGAAAAAGATCTGATGTTGGGTTAAGATTGAGCTAAATCAAGTCAAACTGATGACTTTGTTCCCTCTAAGATCACTAGAGCTGATGTCATGCTTCTCTCCCCTGCAGGATCCATACAACATCATGAAGCCAAAGAGCTATCCTGGCACTAAGGAAGAACCCCACCTTGTTCCCTCCATCACAAACAAGAGGATTGTGGGATGCGTTTGTAAGTCCCTCCTCCTCACTTCCTCTCATCTTGAAATTGATTCTGCTTCCAGAGTTCTAGCTCTCAGCTCCTCTTGTTTCTTCTGCGCAGGTGAGGAAGACAGCACCTGTGTGATTTGGTTCTGGCTTCACGAAGGCGAGGCCCAACGCTGTCCATCATGTGGTGTCCACTACAAACTGGTTCCTCACGAGCTCCCCCATTAGTAGCAAGATTTACACAGTACCACTATGACTTGTTAACTAGCCGTTCCACCTCCTGAACAAGAGTCGAGACTAATTTTACCTCCTTACCTCCTTTGAAAGTTACATTTCCAGATCGGATGGTTTGGGGACTTTTGGATTGAGTCTACGTCGATACATGCACTGTATGATGTTACACTCTGACCATTTAACTCCTTTTGTTGAGACAATAAAGCGCTGAACTCTTCTTTTTGTCTGTTGTAAATCTGTTTCAGACTGAATTCAGTTCCAGTGAGATGTTTAATATTTAAATCTTTGTTAACCCATGAAGTCACCACTTTATGAAGTGCATGTAGTAAGGATGAAAACTGTTGATGCTAAAGTAGCATCTACTTAATTCAGTTATTACAACAAAGAAAACTTGTCTTGTTAAAGGTTTTATATAGCTACTCAGTGATATCATACTACTCTTGTATCTTTGATTTTGTAATTATGATCTTAATCCGGATGAGCATGCATCAGGATGATCTTAATCAGTTCCAGAGTGGTCAACTTTCCAACCCTCGGTTCTTAAAGCAGTCAAGAGCTTTAAAAGTGTTTGAAAGCAGCAGTGTCAGCTTAGATGGACTGGAAGATGTCAAAGGTGTTAAAACCTACTGATCTGAATAAAAATAGAAGTATTTCCCAAGACGACAACACAATACAACTGTGAGCACTGAAGCAGCTAACGAAGGCCTGCAAACCGCACTGTTCAGAAAGCTGGAAAGCTGCTTTAGGGAAGGTAAATGTTTGTAATTTGATCAAATCTCTGCCAGGAAGTTGGAGTTGAAAGTAGTAGAAAAAAAAGTGAATAAAAAGATGCTAAATACAAAAGGTACCCGGAGCACAGAGCTTAATTTGTAAACTGATGGATGCTGGATTGCAAATGGTGGGTATGGGGGGTTATCCCCAGAAAATTTTAAATAAAGTATGCGATCTCCTGCATTTTGGTGTATTTGGTGTACAGGTTGTTAAGCGTTTACATTTACCCACATAAGTGAACACTCCGCTTCTGTCAAACATCCTCCGACTTACTTGACAAAACCGTCAAGTACTGTATTTTCTGGCATATAAGTCGCGTTTTTTTTGCATAATTTACATGCCCTGCGCATTATAGGCTGACGCGACGTATTTATGGATTTTCCCCAATATTTATAAACTAATTTTTGGCTGAGATGACTGTTTTCATTCATTCTGATTTTTTTGTAGCAGTACCACTTTCTGCCACTTGATGGCAGCAGAGCAGTAAAAAATTCAACAGGTTAAATTGAATCTGGTGAACTCGGCAGTTGGCACTCCCCGCCCCCCCCACCCCCACCACTCTTGGGGGCGTTTATTTATTTATTTATTTTTTTTTTTTTTTTTAAGAGTAGACGCAGAAATGCTACTTGAAGAAGCAAATCATGGCTGTTGTGTTTAAAATGAGTGTTTATGTGATTATTTTCAGTTTACATATACAGTACAAGATAACTTTAATTCATTCACCACCAGTCTTTGCCGTAATGTATTTTGGGGTTTAAAAGCCACTGGGACGTTATGTTTAGAAAATAAACGTCTCAGTTTCTCTGATACTCCCTCAATATATGGAATGACCACTGGTCTGGGTCTGGGTTCCTCCTTTTCACCTGATGGCTGACTGGAGTCCTGTTTGGGTTTCTTCTCTGCTTTCAGGAAGGCCCAGTTAGGATATCCACATTGCTCTAGAGCCTGTTTTGTGTGGGATTTCTCCTTCTGCCTGGCTCCTGAGCTAGTGGGGATGCTGTCTGCTCTGTGATACAGAGTCCTGATGACTCCTAACTTGTGCTCCAAAGGGTGATGGGAGTCAAACTGCAAATACTGGTCTGTGTGGGTGGGTTTGCGGTACACCTCGGTTTGCAATTGTCCTCTATCAGAGACTGAGACCTCACAGTCCAAGAAAGCCAACCTGCCATTTTTTACATCTTCTCATGTGAACTTGATGTATTTATCCACAGAGTTGATGTGGTCAATAAAATGTTGGACTTCCTGAGATTTGATTTTAACCCAGGTGTCGTCA